TGAGGTTGAAGTTCAATCACAAGTTATACTTAATTGATAAATCCTCAAAATTTGGATCTTATACCATTAAACTTCTTGGACAAAGAAACTCTTGGTTCTCTAATACTTGAAGTATGTTCTACCATGGGTAGAGGAACATGATTTGGTACAGATCTTGAAGCAACTCTAATCATCTCTATATCCTCACTTCCTGCCATTCTTGTTGATCCTTGTGGTAGTAAGCCAAGTTGATGCATTGCAAGTATCAACTCCCTCAATTGCTCTTGCATTTGTACTATTGCATTCTTCATTTCAACAAGATCTCCCATAATAACATTCAAAACAATATCTAATACCAATCAAGACAAGTAGAAGAAAAGACTTGAGGACAAAGAAAATACTAAGAAAAATATCAATTTAGAAGACGGTAATCTAGAACTTCTAATATTGTTATGTCTTATCATGAGAAAGGGATAATCCACTCTTAATCAAGAAAAGACAAAACTATGATATTGTAAGTGTACTCTTGTTAATGTGTCAAGGACATGAAGTAAAAGGTGATGCATAAACCAATGAATTCTGTATCAAAGAAAGAGTAACAAAATAGAAATTAGAAAGTACATATATTAAAAAGAAATTAGAATTGTTTTTTGCCAAAAGACAAGGAAACTTGAGACTCTTGAAACTAGACTAGAAGCAAAAGAAGAGTTGATAACAATGAAGATGGCTCCACTCTTATCTCTAAATATACTATCTAATTAGAAGCTATGTGGTGATGTTCTATAGGACCTTCAATATGTATTGACTTTGTAGAACACATGCCTTGACTTACAAGGCAAGTTTTTCTACTTGTGGGCCACACAGTGAACTTGGTCTTCAAGCTAACACCATATGTGGTACATGGCCAATTTTTTTTATCACTTTTCTAACTGAAAAAGTCAATTATAAACACCTATGAAGTCAAATCTGCATCTATGAAGCTACTATAGAAGATATTATAGAATTAACTTATTTTAACCTACTTCTACTTACTTCTACCTATTTATACAGATAATTATTAGCTTACATGTGTATGTCCATGGCAACACAACCTCGATTCTTTTCAAGTAATTTTGAGGCCTTTCAAGTTACAATTAGCTTTTAAGTTAGTTTTAGAAGATATTACTTATTTATATCTATACACCGTTTTTAGGTACCTATAGAATAAAAGAAATTAAATTAAACTTTAGGATTTGAAGATTATAAATTATGATCTTTTGTATGAATGTATTTATTAATCCCTTTAATAGTTGTCTTTTAGCTTTGATTCCTTATCTACGAAGGTTCACAAGTTAATGCTATTAAGAGTCAAACACCTTTTCATACTTATTTAATATATATATATATATATATATATATATATATACAAAAATATGAAATATTAGGTGTCAAATTAGCTTTTAAAATTTCTAAGATATAAATACTTTTTTTAGACAATCTTTTAATTTTATAAGGATTTATTTTTTCTTTAAATTTTTTAATAATTTTTTTAAAGTATAAATAAAATACTTGATTTTTTTTTAAATAATTTTTTTTATGTTAATACACTTATTTCTTATAAATAAATTAAAATTTTATAAGACAAATTTAATTGTCATTAGGATTATTTCCAATTTAGCAATCTATTCTACTTCTTTTGGCAATAAAAACTTGCATATGGATTCATTTTCTATCCTAAAAATAATATTTTAAAAATCCGAATATATCAATGAATATAAATTTATTTTTTAATTTTTTTATAACAAAATCTTAATAATATTATAGATATTAAATAACAACTTAATTTTGCTATTGAAAGTTAATATATCTAATTAGTAGTATCAACTACTATATAAAGTCTCAAGTACATTTTTGAGATTCTATTGATCCTCTTGGTTTGGATATGCCCTTCTAAATTCCAAATTATCTTTATTGTAATTTTTCTTCTTAATTTGTATATTACATAATACAAACATAACACAAAGAACTCTACTTCTCTAATAAACATCATTCTTTTATTTTGTTTGACTTAAAGAACATACACCCTTATTTAAATAAACCAATCTGTCTTTATTTGAATACACTCCAATTAATCTTCTTTTATATTAATTTTTTTAGATTTTTTCTTGTGCAAAGACTTTTAAAATCTTCTTATAATTTTATTACATGAATTGACTATTTCAACTAACTTCTATATAATGTTTTTACATTTAAAAACTATGAAACTTCTTTCTTCAATTAAAATTCTTTTCATTGCAAAATTACTTACATTTACATGCATCAAAAATGGGAGGTGACATTGGAGATATTAAAGATTTGTCAATTAGATTAGAATTTCCTTCAAATTTTAAAAAGCCTACTTAAATATATCATTTGATTTAATAATTTTATTTATTTTTATGAAAAGTTTTTTTGAAGGTCCATATTACTTAAAAATACGGAATTCATATGTGTAGATTTAATTAGATTATTTAGAGTAACTAATGTATTGCATAACTCACGTAACACATGCAAAACACAAGATTTATACCTTCTCTTCTATATTATTTTTAATACCTCCTTTTACTTTTTAAATTTAATAATATCAAATTTATTTCTATTTAGCTTATTTAATTAGATATTTATTTTTAATAATTAATATTTTAATTTTATAGTATTTTTGTTGAATATTCAATAATTGATATACAAATTTTATTTACAATCTTTTTTATTCACAAACATATTAAGCTCCATTCAAAGATTTGTTGGATCTTAAGTAGCTACAATTTAATAAACCATTGGTTTGTTTTCTAAACTTGCCTAAATCAACTTAATTGAGTAAATAAAGGATTGTACTTTGAACTTCTATACTTGATATAAAGTCAATCTTTCAATGAAGTTCTTAATATGGAAAGAGTTTTTTTAGTAATATATTTTTTAAAACTTCTTTAAAACCAATTCATTAATTTACAACCATATTTAAAGAAGAAATATAATTCAAAGATAGAATCTTTATTTTTAAAGTTTTTTTTACTATTAAATAAAGAAACTAATATCTCAAATTGTATAAAATAATTATTCTCTTTTATCTAATTTTATCAAACTATTAAAATCTTAGACTTATCTTATATAAGTAAGTAGATGAATGGCAAGGCTTTTGATAACTAGACTTGATTACAACAAAACAATTTACTTAAATATATCATCCAAATTCTATATAATTGTAATTTAAAATAAAAAAATGCAATAGAATACTACATCTAAATTCCTTTAACTTTACATTTCAAAATCATAATAAAAGTCTATATTTTTTTTTTAATATTTTCTACTTTTTACTTTGTTGACTTTACTACTCTCTTATATAATAGAAACTTTTACCAATCCTTGTCTTTTACAAAGAAATTTAAGTTTTGTTATAAAATTTGGATTTATGTATAAGATAATGGTGCTTGTATTAACAACACCAAAACATCAATTTTCCTAAATTAAATCTTATAGTAAAATAAAAAAATATTTGTTCAGTTTTATTAAAACAATGCTTGCTTCAAATTTTGTACTTTTATAAGAATCATTTGGCTCAAACTTATTATTATAAAGTTATAAAGAAATATTACATTAAAAGTTTAGAATTGTATGTTTAGAGATATTTTTTCTTTGATGAGTATCATTAATCATTGCTTAGACTTTCTTTTTATAATTTTTTATTATGAATCCTTGACTTTGACACCTACATCACATTTTATTATTGTGTTTGCATTATTTTTTTCTCTTCAACTTTTTTTATCTCCTTTTTGTATCATTTAATAGTAAAAAGTCTCTTCATATTTATTTTTTATGAAAAAATTATTGGAACTTCTAAAAAAATTGGTGTTTTCCTTGATCTTACTTTTTAAATCTCTAATTTCTAATTTGTCTCTAGTTGAACTAGGCCTTAAGTCCTTGTTTTCTTCAATTAGAATTAGAAAGCTAGGACCAAAGCATTTTGAAGGATATTTATAATATTTATTTTATTTTTATTTTTTTATGTTCTCCTATTTTATATTGATAATGATAAAATAATAATAATAATAATAATAATAAAAATAATACTTTTAGATGAATATACATCCATTGTTTCTTAAACTTTTGTTTTAGTCTTGTTTGTGGCTTTAGCCAATATGCCTTCTATTTGGTGGAGATTCATGTTGATAAGTAGGTTGCAACATGAAGATAACTTTTGTTATTAGAATTTGTGCAATCAACTTAGATTTTTTTCTAGATTTTTTTCTAAATGCTATTATGACTTTTGCAACTAACTTAGATTTTTTCTTTATGTTCTTCTTGAAGTGATGCTTCAAGAAAATTTAATTCTTAATCAGCCTCCCTAAGTTGTCTTCTTCATCTTCTAATGAAGAAAATATTTGCACAATATTTATCTCTATTGGCCTTGTTTTTGGTATTCCAACAATTTATTGTTCCTTAAGTCAAATCAAGGACTTCGCCTCACTTGCCTCATTTGGATCAGCTGGGGACAATTCCACTCACACTATTCTTTTAGACCCAAAAAACTTCACTTAAATTTTGTTAAACCTTCATTTGCCAGAGTAGCTTTGGTCTTTTATCCCAATTTTAATTCCATACCATCAACAGACGCTCACAAGTCTGGGCCATTGCAGCAGCAACGACTCATTTGAGTTGGTACAAGAGCTGCCAGTGCTATAAGTGTGTCAGAAAACAAATTGATCAGTATTAGGGTTTAGGGATTAGGGTTTGCACACAGCAGCACACTCGAAGGATTTGCAATGCACACAGCCACTGCAGCGCAAGCTGCACATTTGTTTCACAGGGGAGGACGACCCACTTTGGAACGACAAGAACGAAGTTGACGCAGAACTCAACTCCGTCGACCTGCAGGCAGCGACAACGAAACCATTGAGTGACTTCACAGTAGCCATTTCTCACATCAGCAATTTCCCCCTTTACTTCGACATCCCGTGAGCTTAATGCTACAAATATCTCTTCTGAAAACTCCCAAACTTCATTTCCTAACACCTACGATCTATCTAAGCTCCCAAAATTCCTCCAGCCTCGGCACTTCAAGCCCCAAATGAAGCTGAGCTGAATGAATTATCAGGCTACCGATGACTTTCGATTGGAAGCAAAACATGAAGGGATTCTTTGCTTACGTTATCGATTTCCGTAGGTTGAGTATGTTCCGAGTTTCTGCTAAGACCATGAGCTAACACTCAAAATGCGGCGTCCAACAACCTTGCTGATCTGACAGCTCGCGGTCATGGCCCCATCAACCCAGGAAGAATAACACTACGCCACCAGTCATCCATGCCCGTGACCCGCCTTTCTTTGAATTGAGCGTTTCTCCCAGCTCGCTCAAACTCTACCATCCCCCTCGTCGTTGTTTTCTGTATTCGAAAGCTGGGCTCCACCCGTGGATTTGTTGCTCCTCCTATTCCAAGACGACCCACTTGACTCTTTGGTTTGTACAGTCTTCCACTTTTGCTGAGATGCAGAACCTTTAATATGAACTGAGCTGCTGTAGCGTGGTAGGGCTGAGAGACATTGATGGTTTAAGGCCTCGAAAGTTAAAACCCTAGCCTGAGTCGTAGTTCCGGAATTCCACCCTGAGCTTCGAGAAGTAGAGGCGTTTTCTCGATTTTTAGAGCGCTGAATTTCTTTTCAATACGGAAGCAGTGGAAAAATAAGCAGTGCTGTGAAGATGAGGTTAGATGGGAGAGGGCAGAGATTGGCCGTATGGGGTGTGGCTGCGTTTATCTTCGCTGTTCTTATGATCGTTACTCCAAAAATTCCTCAAGATCAAAAGTATCATCAGTTTGCTGACAGGCGGAATTTCTTCGGTGAGTCAACTGCTTGCCTATGATCTCTCAGACAACTTTTGCTATCAATTACCTCAGTAGATTGTACCTCATTTCAGAACCCTGTAACATCCTCTGTTTTGGTAAGTGGTCGCGGAGTAGCTGATTGTTATATGTGGGGAATACATCTGATTAGTGATGCATTATTTATTCAGTGAAACACTTGTCTTGGTATCACTTTGAAGTGCTGGAACAGACAATTAGAGATGACCTAGCTCGGCTGGGACATTTTTAGTAAATAATTGCTATCTCTGCAACGTTGAGTGATAATTCATCTACTATAACTTCTCACCTTTCAGGTATACCGAACACGCTGAATGTTGTGTCCAACTTCCCTTTCTTGGTCATCGGCATTGTAGGCTTAGTTCTCACGCTTCATGGCAATAGCTTCGGATTGAGGTTAGCTTTCTGACGACATAATTTCTCTCCTGTTTCTTGATGCCTTCGCATTCCCCTAAGCATGAGGTATTCTATGAAGTAGCCCACAAACCAGCTGTCAGTCTGTTGCTGCCTTGGAGAACAAGGATTTGAAATTTTTCGACGCTCGAAACGTTGTAGCAGGCGACTTGGAATTATCGTATGTTGATTATATCTGAATATTCCATGAACATTTTTTCGTGATTTTTGATGAATTTGGTGTCTTGTTGTTAAATTCTGTTGTGTTGTGTTGTGTGTGTGTTTTTTATTTTATTTTATTTTATTTTATTTTTTTCAGTTTGCAGGGTGAATTGCTGGGGTGGTCAATCTTTTTCCTTGGGGTCACAGCCACTGCTTTCGGGTCAGCATACTATCATCTGAAGCCCAACGATGCGCGCCTCGTCTGGGACCGTCTTCCTGTAAGTCAAACCTTTCTATTTTGCTTAAGTGGTTCGCTCAATGTAACAGTATCAGAATGTGGTTCTAATAAGTAAATATGATCTATTTCCGAACTGTATTGTATCAAGGTCGTCTCATGTGTGGGCACACTAGCCTGTTTCATTATTTAGATTATTGTGAAGCTAGAAATCGGTGTAAAATGGTTGCTTTTTTAGATGCTAAAATAACTCTCAAGTAAAGGTCACAGCTTACCTTGGAACCCCAAGTGATAGGCTACATATTTTAGACTCTGAAGAATCTGGTGTACTGCATTTCAGATGACCGTTGCTTTCGCCTCAGTAATGGCAGTGTTTATCATCGAGCGAATTGATGAGGCCACTGGAAAAGCGTCCATCTTTCCCCTTCTTACTGCTGGGGCAGGTAGTGTGGCATACTGGCGGTAAGTACTGAAAAAGCTTCGTACGCAGAGTTACTGCTGGTTCCTGATTTCAAAAATCTTTCACACGGTCCTGGATTTGTGGAAGTATCTCCACTTTTACATGGTGATTCTTAAGCTGGTTTGTGGGTCATGATTGAAGTGCGTTGATACTTTGTTGATCTCAATGATAATATTTAATTTAGCCATTCTAGTCCCACGAATTCAAATTATTTTTGTTTATTTAATTTATTTTGCGGGGTTGAATCGCAGGTTTGCAAATGATTTGCGGCTTTATGCGATAGTTCAATTTGTGCCATGCTTTGCTATTCCCGCTATGGCCATTCTGCTGCCGCCCAAATATTCCCACTCCCATTACTGGCTTTGGGCTGCAGGTTCTTACCCACCTAGAATAAGTGATGAAAGCATAGATTGCCTGTTTCTATGTATAGAATTAACCACATTTCACATGGTAGTAGCATGGGGTCATGAGTCTTAGCATTTGGCATAATTAAGCTTGGCTATCGTTCCAGAGTTTTTATATGATACATACTAATTAACTTAATCCCTTAATCTATCCAACTACTTTTAAGTTGTTATTGTTTTTATTCTTTTGAGCGCAGGCTGGTATCTACTAGCAAAAATTCAAGAGGCGTTGGACATGAAGTTTTACAGGTGGACTTACTTCATAGTGAGTGGCCACACTCTGAAGCATCTGAGTGCGGCCATGGTTCCAGTGGTTACTATCGTCATGCTCTATTGTCGTAATGTGCGCATAGAAAGGTATATCTGAAACCTTAACCGACAAGTCTGTTTACATCCCATGCCTGCTTGTCTTGTATATCCGGGTTCACGATTTCCATGTGTAGTTTCTACACACGTCAGTGAAGACCGCTGCTTCGATGCTAATTTTGTTGACACGATTAATTCACTTTGCGATTGTGCTTTTAGGCAAAGTTTACTTGATAAATGGCGACATCAGGCGAGGGGGACCACTAGTGTAAGCGGGAGTGGAAGTACCATTTCACAGAGATGGAAAGCATATTGGAGCGGAAGGTCTTCGAGTTCCAATCTGCACGATGAAACTGAATCTCTTGTTCGGGCATGACTGGCAGGTAGTTCGCCTGAGCGTCTGTATGGTTTGTACATTCGTCTCATGGATCTTATGTCTGAGGCAATTGTGTTAAGATCTCAATTGTAGTCTAGCAGATGCGGAACACAGTTCATCGTTTGATCACAATTTGACACAAGGAAAACTTGTGGCATTGAGATGAAAACTAGGACAATCTGGCCTTTTGACTTCAAGGATGTGAATTTGCTATTACTTGTCACCCAACCGCTGTCCTTCAATTTTTGTAGATTATTGATCTTCATCTTTCCAAATATCTCTTCAATCATGAACCAAGATGGAATTCAAATTTCGCTAGATAAGACCAAAACATTATATATCCCTTGCATCCAATTATTGGAGCTAGTTTGAGTAAACGAAGCGGATTGTATGTAATAGAATCCATAAATGATACGATAGTCTTTGAATTGGCAACTATACTTCATCACTGTGATGAGAATTCTCTTGTAAAAGAAAATCATTGCATATGCAGTACTTGCAGAGGATTGAATAGTAATAAAGTTCATGAAATCCTGGTCTATGAGTCGAGATCCGAGCATTGATTATTTGAGACCTCATGAAACATCAAATTAGATTAGGTTTACAATTATTATGTAATAGGACGCTAGTTTTATTGAAATTGATGTGGTCATTCTTGGTGCTTTGTTTTGTTGAATTTAGCATGTTTACACTACACATGGAAGTTTGTAATGTTAACAGAAAGAGTAATGTTTTAATTATATGACAAATGATGATTTTTTAATATATTATTCATATAATGGCATTTTTGTAGTTAAATGTCTTAAAACCTAACTTAATGATTGCATGTAATAAGTTTTTAAAACAACAACAAAAAATTAATTCAATAAGATAAAATAAAAAAATGTGTTTATTTAAAATATATCTATATGTAAAATTCTATCTTAAATCTTGACCAAAATAATTACCATGTTAGAAAGGTAGATTTTGTAATATAACATGGTAGAATTCCTCCATTAGAAACACCAAAATCTATTAAAATTAACATTCTATGCAATCTTTGACTAAAATATTAGCAACAAATAGAAAAACTCAATGACTTCATGGTTTTGGAATCGATTAGGAAACATGGCCCAAAGATCAAAGAATTAACCATATGAGCGAAGAGTAGGCTATACTACTTCAAATGCATGACCATGCAAGAGAATAATCATGTCAAGGTTTATTTCAATCAAATAAATAATATTAAGTTGATACTATTAAGCTATAACTTTAAAATAGATAATAAAAAAATGTGCTTCTATCTTTGGACACCATACTATAAATTAGATCCTTCTATCAAATACAAGTAGCAGAAGATATATCTATAAATACAAGTTTTGGAATTTTTACATGGACTACAAACCAAAGAATTTTTCTACCCCATCTTCTCATAAATTTTTGAAATCATAATGATAGAAGATAATAAACTCTATTGTTCTAAGATCTATAGTCTTAGAATGCAAATCCTTGCAAAAAACATTACAATACTATCAAAGACTATCAAAATCACAAAAATAGACATGAAAGAGTAAATCAAACAAGAACATATCCTTTCTTTTAGTGAGTTCAACTTACAACACAAGTGCTATCACTATTACAAATATAATACAATCAAATGCACCACCATCTAAAGACCTATTGAAGAATACATAGCCAAAAAAAGATAGGAAACATATCTCAATATAGAATATTTTAAATTATATTATGCTTAGGAGTAGGTAGGGATCTAACTTTAATGATACAATACCAACTTCTTGCTCACAAGAACAATCAAAGAAGAGGTGAGTTTCAACTATAAAAAAAAACTAATGGCTTTATCAAGCAATCTATTACATAACATTTCTAGGATAAAGTTATAACCTCTTTTTATAAGGTAGCAATTGGTTACAATACCACGCATATATATTTTTCTTTGTGGACAACTCTCAATTAGAAAAATTAGTCTCAAGGCCAAAAATTCTCAATTATAATAATACTTATTATTGTCAATAAGAACAATAATGGTCAATACACAATTCTATTATCAATATACAAAGCATATCTATTAATAACTTTTTACTAATATAATTCTTGAATAAGACAATATGGATACAAGAAGAAACATACAATCACCTAGTAAATAAAATAATGCAACAACTTCGATCTAAGATCATTAAAAATATAAAAAAAATCAAAAAACAAATAAAACAAAGAAACAAAGAAACAAAAGGATCTACTATGCAAGTAGGAAGATGCACTCTAGATGTACAAATTGCTATGGTTCTCTGGCATGGTAGCACTAAGCATCCTTGTTATTCTTATTACTCACAATGACTCACATTTTTTGTTTAAGGTACAATACAATTACATTTAGCATATATTCTTAGATTTTATATAAGGTTAGATTCTTGCATTAATGTCTTTATAAGCTAAGGCCTAAGAAATTAGAAATGAAGGAAGACAACTACTCTTTTGCACCAACCTTTTCTAAAACTTATCATTAGATTTTATTACTATAATAGTCATCTTAGAGGCCAATGCCTAATTAACTATCCAAAATTAATATACAAAAAATAGAGTTGCTTGCTTCTTTAAAATAGACTTGAAAGAATGATAGAACCACTTGTTCTTAGTTCCTTGAATGTTTAATTTTTGAATGGCAAACAAGTTGGCATTAATAAATAACACAAGTCCAAGGATTTTTTTTGTAAGAACTACATCCAAGCCTGACCTATTATTAATATAAAAATATAATTTTTTACTTTTCAATTGTCAAAATAGGACTCACTAATTCTTATCCCTCTACAGCTCTATTCTACGGAGTAAGGCCTAATACTTAGCAATTTAAGATTTATTCACAAGAGAGATTGGCATCCTCGTATCTAAAAAAATAGTAGACCAAATTTGTAAATATGGCATAATAGAACTTGACCAAGTTTAATATGTAACATTTCAATTGTTTATAATATTCAAAATAAGAATAATCAATATCTATTGATATATCAATAATAGTAGTAGAATCAAATTATAGAAATTAATCATAAGATACTTTCTTTCAACTATACATTATGTATTAGTTGATGATTTGATTTGTAGAGAGTAATTGGAAGATAAACAAGGTTTTAGAAAGGCAAGAAAAAAATCCTTTATGTTAGACAATGGAAAATAAGCACCAAACATAATCTATTTACAAGTCAATACAATCTATTTGCCAATTATAGTCTAATTTTTTGATAGCCTCATACATATTTGATGTTCTATGTCCCACAAGCTTTTAAAAAACTTTAATTTGATTGGCCTTTCATAGTTAGATATTTCTAATTCAACACACAATTACTCATAAATAAAAATATTAAACTTTGATACTACAAGCCTGGATACAAGTTATCTCTAGCCACATAATCTATAGTTCAAATACCAAGATTATTGTGACTATCAAAGCGTTTTAAAAAAATCAGTGATAAAAACAAATAAATAAATAAATAAATGATAGAATAAAGATTTCAAAAAAATAATATACACACATATACAATATCAAAATGATCCTATAAGACCACTAGAATGATAATAAAATTAGAAAGAAATTAAATGAGGTCCATGCAACTTAACAAAGAAATTGATAAGATGAGATAGAATATAACAATCAAAACCTCATCATACTACTATTAAATATTGAAAAAGCAATTAAGTGATGAATTGATGTTTTTTTCAAAGCAATAATAATATATGTAGGCTTCTACAAAAAAATGATAGATTTTTTTATGGCACTATATATAAGTGCATTTTCATCTATATGCCTAAATGACTTATTAGACAAATCTTTTTTTTTAAATACTTAGTGCAACAAAAATATTTGTTGGCACCCTCTTTCTATCTCTTTATTGGATGTATTTATGATTACATACTTGACATTATATAACAAGGCTTCTAAGACTTTACACTCATAAAATATAATAATAAGATAAGGTAATGTTTACAGATGATTTGGCTCTATACCTAAATGGAATAAAAACCAACTTTAACCACATTATAAAAGGCATTGAAATATTTTTTATACCTTGGAAACAAAACTAAACTATTAAAAAACTAAAGATATATGGTACTCAAATATACAACGAATTTGGAATTGGCATCACAACTAGGATATAAAATGGCTCAAAGAAGATAGGACAATATTATACCTTGGCTTTTCCACAGGCTTTTGTATTGCCACAAAAGAATTAAATAATAAAATTATATTCTAATTCACAATGGTACTAAATAATAAGATTATATTTTAGCTTACAAAGGCACTAAAAATGGGGGAATTATACTTCATATCATTAATAGTGTTGTAATATGTGTTGTCTTATTTGAAAATCTACTTGCCTAAAAAAGGTGAAGTTGTGTTTTACAAATATCTAAGAAACCTTAATAGGTTTTAATTATCTAAATACAAAGTAATTCAAATTTCAATTCAAAAGTACTTAAAGCCAATACAAAGTGCTCAAAAATACTCTTTTTAGTAACCTCAACCATATACAAATTCCAATTGCCTTATTACTTTCATAATTAGGTAATTTCAATTTTTTCTTGTAAATCTTAATCCTAGTTAGTGAATTTTAATAAGCTGTAACTTCTAATTTGACCATCTATTTAGCATACAAATGCCACTATAAGTCTTTACATGCTCAAAAAAATTCAGCCCAATCCAACTTATAGATTGCAAGGAAAAGCCCAAAAATCACACTAATGTCACTTAGCCGTTAACTTAAAAGTTTTAGTAGATGTTTTAGTAGCGGTTTCTCCTTTTCCAACTGTTAACTTCAACTTAAAATTAGTATATTGCTTGATCTTAAAGTCTTCTACTACCATGCCAAATTTCACCTTGATGCAACTAATAGATCTTCAAATAGCATAGAAATTCTACCCAATCCCAAACTGCCAACTTTTAATACCTTCTTGTATCAAAACCTTGATATCTTTTAATTGCATTGTTTAATTAATAAAAAAAAATTCACACACTTAAGACATCTAATCAACAAAGCAATTTCAAATTTTGAACTATAGATGTGACACCAATTCTACGAACTAGTCGAGAGTACTTGCTTTAATTATCTTGTTTAAATCCCAAATCACTGATATAAATCTTGACTTTAAACAATGATTGCAAAATCATTCCTAATCCTTTGAAAAAAAAACCTTATACCTTTAGAATTGATTTGAAGCTAACTTACCAATTTTAATTTTTGATCTTCAAATGCCTCTCTATTTTTCCCTAATCAATTGTTATAATGGCTAGAGGTCTAATTTCAACCCTCTCCCACAAATAGTCGACCTCCAGGAATCAATTTCATCTATTCTAGAGGTTTTTTAGTCCAACCCTACCTTGAACTAAACTCTAGTATCAACCATGCTAATTATTTATTTTTTTAATCTAATTTTATCAAGTTATGACCTTTCTAAGGCAATAAAAGAATTTCTACATTCTAGAAGGTAAAGTTATTAACCAACCTTTAATCTACTAGCTATTGAGACAAGAAAATAAACTAAGAGGCTTTTATAAAATCCTTGTTTAAATATCTTGAGCTATTATTAAACTAAGATGATTAGATATTAATTAAAATTTTATTTTTGATTATATTTTTACTATATAGTCGTGTTACAATATGACAAGGGGCCAAATTATGATAGTATATCAAATATTCTTTACCACAATCTAATACATTTGCTCATATGCATCCATCAATGATACAACCTTCAAACAAACTAGAGTTGTAATTCAAAATTATATATGGAGATTAAAGACATGAAGCAATACATGAGCCAAGTAGTATAATCTATTACCATGTAATCAATCACACATTGAAGGATAAAATTCTTTGATTCCAATATACAAAAAAAAATACTTCTTTCTAAATTATTAGTTCAACCCTTATAGCTAAGACCTAAATTTTAAAAAACTTTTGTTAGATATTATATCATATAAATTAAGATGACAAGGACTAGAAACTAGCCAATTTATCTTCATTTGATCATGAAAACATAAAGACCTCTTAAGGATAGCTCACAATTGAGGATAATAACTTTCAAGGCATAGATATAAATCTTAAATATGTTGAACCAACTCACCGTAAATATTACAAGAAAATTATATGGTAACCAATCTTTGAAAAGTCACTCATTAAAATCTAATTGGGCTGTGAAGTTAGTACCCATTTGGCCTTCAACTACAATATTAGAAAAAAGAATATAATTTTCTACCTAAAAGATCTATGGCACCTTCACAATCAGGACTAACTGCAGAAAGATCTTCTATAATAACAAATAAGATTTAGAAACATATAAATATTATAAGTAGGAATAATCAATTCTATATTATAGTCACTATTTGGTATCTTTTTTCTATAATCAAGCAAATGGATTATAACAAAAATAAATGAGCATATTAATATCATCTATTACATTCTAAAATAATATTGTAAGAAATCGCAAGTCGACTAATATTAAATACTATACATGAAAGAACTCACATCCATCTCAGAAAGAGCAACCAAAATATTACTTGATAATCTTAAACAAATCTAAGTCATCTTCATATCCAAGATGAATAAAGTTATTGACTATAATCATGTATTGTTGACAAAATACTACTATAGAATTTAGCTCTTTAGATCCATTCCAATATTATTTGTACCATAAAACCTAACCAATTAAAATTAAAGAAATACATAAAGCATGAAAGGTGGAAACTTCTATACATACATTATAAATTTAGAATGTTGAATTATCTTTACTAAATAATTTGAAAGCATGTATATAGTATAATATCTTTAATCAAGAAGATACAAATATATTAAATGCCACAAATTTCTACATTGAATATGTTATATATGTTTCTTTTAAAAAATAGCTTCTTTAAATTGGCTCACCTTGCAAGATGCCTTTCTATCAATACATGGCAACAAAAGGTTGGTTGTAAAGGCTACTACTACATCTCTTGTGGCTCCACTGCCTAAATAGCTAAACATACTCTAATGACATGTCCAACAATTACTCTTTTAAGTATATTTTTTTATAACTTACAAATTAAAATATGCTTTATGGATTTCTATACCACTTGAATATACATTCTATACAACCTCGTCTAAAAACTTAACACCACATGAAAATATTGTGAGACTATATTCAAAAGTATTTTTAGATGCAAACAAGTAATATGTCATACATAACAACATCTCTTTGAAAAATCTTGAAAGCAATTTTATTAAAAAACCATGGGTACTAAAATGTAGATATGAAATTAATTAAATAACATTCAACTTTAAGGCAATGCTATCATATTCTGTGAAATCTTGCTTGAGAATACGTTGAATACCTAGTTGTGGAAGGTAAAAAAAAATGAAAACAATAAGTCTTATCAACTCTAATAGAATTATATATAAATTTTAATTAAAGCTTAACAAACATAATCAAACATTGATTAAGTCTAATTAAAATTTTAAATAAATTATAAAAGAAATTTTAAAAAATCCTAAAAGAATCCTTATCTAATCCTAAACAAATTATAATCAAAATTTTAAAAAATCAAAAAAAAAACTAGAAAAATTCTAATCAAATCCTAGACAAATCTTTGAAAAATCCTAATCAAATTCTAAAAAATTCTTAGACAAATCCTAATTAAATTCTAGACCAATCTTTAAAAAAATTCTAAATAAATCTTAGAAAAATTCTAAAATTAACCTAATAAAATCCTAGATAAATTTTAGATAACCTCTAATCAAACTCTAGATCTTAAACCAACTCTAAATCATAAATAAATTCTTAACAAACCTTATGGCAGATTGAAACTTCAATAACTAACAATCAAACTATTGATTTCAATTCAAATTTTGTACATCTCTCAAAAACTAAGCTATCAATAAAAGAAAATATTTCAAAGAAGATCAAACTCATTAAATAGAAGATAATTCCTAAAATATGCTTAGGTGTTAACTGACATCTTTTTTTAATCTTGATGCCAATCTCTTCAAGTTAAAATCTCTTAATTCCATCATTAAATACTTCTTAAAAGTTACATATTTGTTGAAAATCAAGTCTACTACCTATATACATAAATTTCACCTCAATCTAATGAGCAAATTGCTAAAGATGTTAGAAACTTTCACTGACCCTCTAAACCCTATTTTTGAGATTTCAACCTATTTGAACTTTAATAACCTTCACTCTAATTATTTGATCATGCTCAATTCTACAACATACAATAATAACTATTGTAAAAAAAAATCTACAAATTTTCACCTATAAGTCTTCTATCAAACTTAGAAATTTCTTTAAAATATAAATTCTTTTTTTATTACACAAAATTAGATTCATTGAAACAACCCTAACTTTGCAAATTTCTTACAAAGTTATTATAAATTCAAATTTCTCAAAATCCATGTTTAAAAAAATCCTATAAAGTCTTCTTTCAAATCCCACTCTTTGATTTACAAAAGAATCCTAAAGTTGCTAAAGATACGCAGTTTTGTGCTTTAGGATCTGATTTCAATCCTAATTAATAATTGGTCCTTTTTCGGATATCAATTCTTCTTTTTTTAAAGTATTTTTTACTAAAATCAATTCCTAATTTTCTTATATATATATCTATATTCTTTATTTTTCTATGCTATCTTGTTTTGCCTTATTTATGGTCCTACAAAATAAGTAAAAGTCCACTTTACAAAAAGATAACTTTTATACTTTTAATTTTACTAAATTTTGATTATTATTTATATTTCTAAGATAATTTTTATAATATTTTAAAATAAGATCTTCTATAATATAATATTTTTTTTTTTACTTTTTTACCTATTAGCCATGATACATTACAATAACACTCTTTTACTTATGAAAAATCACAATCTATGTTGGCATAGAATATTGGAATCCTAATTATAAATTAGAATGTTTGTATAATATGACATAAGCCATGACTAATGTTTTGAAGGAAATCTAGATACAATCCAAAACTTTTTGTAACATAGAAGTCAATATACATTATTGAAAATTTCTTTTACTCCTTGCTTTCTTACCACAATACCTTGCTTTTATACTCTTACACAAGCCATATTATGCTCCTACTAAAAAAGAGCCTACAATTAGTATATCCTCTCTACCATCACATAATGACCTAAATTTAATAATTGATCATATATTTGAAGACCTAATAATATAAGATCTTAATGGTAATAATCTAACTTTAGGACTACCAACAAACTTAGATGTACATGAATTTGTCAACCTCTCAAACTTCTTATTACATACCATAAATCTTTTACAAACTCCTTAGCAACATGCATGTGCTAACTTTATATCATAGTGAACATCCAAAGTATCAATCAATATATTCATTGATCAATCTAGCTCCTACTTAGTACACCTATTGTTAAATGACCTCCATTTAGAGATAGATATCTTAGTTGTGACCACAACATTCATACTAATAATAAGTCCACATTAGCAATATATTTGCATCACACTACTAGATTTATTGAAGAAATTGAAAGAAAGATGCAGAACATAATAGATACAATACCATACATCCAAGAGAAATTATTTCAAATTTTGGAGGCAACAATGTGGATATTGAACTTCTAAGGTTCTCTTATTATATTAAAAACTTACGCTGCCATAATCCAATACTTTAGCACCAACAATTACTAATGTTAGATACTAGATGGCATAAACTACTTTTCTTGTGAAAAACAACATCCAACATAGCATCACACACTACACATAAAATTAAGAAAATGGCTACTAAGAGTTGCTTAGAGAGTACATAATTGCACATCACTTTCATCTAAGTTTTTTAAAAATTTGTTGCTATTAGTTATATAAATCATACTACCATCAAGGTTTTCAAAACAGAAAGTATTACTCTGCAAACATAATAGAATAGGAGTAGGCATTGCACTGTAGGAAGTTTCAATGCTTTTTTGGTCGTCCTTGTTGTCTAAGTCCATTGTATATTTCATTCTTGACATGTTAAATGACCCTACTTTGTGAGATAGATTCCATGGTTTGTTAATGGCTCCTTGGCCAATGGCCACTCTCCAACACAATGTAATTTTAATATTACTTTAAACCATATGTGGGAACTTTAAGGTTTTGGCCAATATAAATAATTCAAATCAAATATCATAAACTTCATTTGAAAAAGTTGGTACCAATGCTTAGGGACTATGTTGGCTTCAGACAAGTCTTTGGTTCGAAGCTAGCCACTTGCATAGTAGAATAATTATGTTATATCTATGTTTCGATTCTAATCCCCCTTGCTAAAGCTCTTTTACATTTGCTTGGGATGAATATTCGTCGACTGGCAGAAGCGGGCACGGTTCTGAGTACAAGCTTCGTCCGGGTATCAATCAACGTCACAATAAACAAGACACGATGACAAGGAGAAGGTCTGACCTAATTTGGAGGTGTGTTGTAGTGTTGGTGAGGGTTTCGCAGGTACCCCTGGATTGTCGACGGTGCGGTGGAGGTTTGGAGCCATGTCGGGACCTGTTCACCATGTCTACAGGGACCTGCTCAAGGCTGTGCGCAAGCATGCCGCAGCCGATCATTTCAGCAGCTTTGTCCGTCAGAGTTTTCGTGACTCGATTGCCTCGAAAGATGCCGATGCCTTGCAGAAAAGCCTCGCTTTAGCTAAGGATTATGCGTATTTAGTCAGGAGCGTTCATGCTCACAAGGTGCGAAACTGATTTTTGCGTTTTTTTATTTTTTTAGTTTTATTTTTATATCTCCTCCCTTTTATTTTTCAAAATAAAGGTTATGTATGATCTCGTTACAGTTCTGCTTCTTCGTGTAGATAGCTATGGTAGATGTGAGCTTAGCTGGGAATTTTCAAGGCGGTGAAGTGGCTCGTGTTCAATTTGTCTTTTTAATCCATCAATCACGCTCTCTGTGCTTGTGGTGGTGTGAGAGTGTTCGCGATTCATGCAGTAGGGTTATTACTAACTGCTTGGCGCGTTCTAGAAGGGTCTAGCGATCGATTGAACTTGCAGAATGAAAAATGAATTGGAATGTTTTCAATTCTTCTGCAAGTGATGTTACGTCTCTTCTCTTCTCCGGAAGTGCGATGTTGCTCTAGAACAGGTCATGACCGTGCGATCGATAGCTGTTCTTTTTCGATGAGGAAAATCGCTATTTCTAGTGCCTGTACTGAGTCTTCTCTCTCAAGGGCGTAGAATGTATTGCTATATGTACCTTATCCTTAAGTGTTGTACTCTAGCGTAGAAAACGCGATACATCATCACTCTGTCATGACGATGCAAGGAACTCATCAGATTTCGAGATTTAAATCAGAGCGTGTTAATGAGCCGCTTTCATTTTCTTCACTCGTTGATGTCTCCTTTGCACACGTAAAGTTTTAACGATTTTTTTGTTTCGTCTGTGTAGGATCTCCTCATCTCCTATAACATCGGTGTAGATAGGGAGACAGAGCAGTCAGTTCGATTGAAAGACACTGCTAACAGAGTTGGACTTTCCATGCCAAAGCTCTTTGAAGAAGAGCAGTCGAAATGACGTCCATCTTTCATCAAGCATGCACAGAATTGATCCCTTACTGGTGTAGATCCCAGTCGAAAGCTGCAACAGATACATCTGGGACGTGGTTATCTAATCGGATCCAATACGACGGCTCGCTTTTGATGCTCTGCTTGCCATTCGCTTGGGCTAGCCCTGTGGAAGTATTGTGATACACGCGTTAAGACTAAAGTTGATGAAAAGACACGCAATGTGCTGACTAATTATGTTGTCACAGCATGTCGTCACCAATGTATTTCTTGGGACTACGTTCACTCGCCCACCTTCGTCGTATCTCGAAGTTCTCGTTTGACAGAAACAGTATTCCCATATACAGTTCTGCGTGCACGTTGGGTGAAATTCCATTCTTTTGTTCCGAGGCGCTTGTGTCTAGCATCCATGTAGCGTTGCGTAGGACTTCGGAGTTCTCAGAGGACCACCAAGCATGTATTTTGATTTCTACATTTACGTGCGGTTTGTGACAGGAAACATTAGAGTAATTTCCTCTCATTGAATACTTGTTAAGAGCTAACTGCCAAGTGGGAAATGGTTTTTTGCATGTCATGTTTTGTTGTTTGGTATTCTGTATTTCTCCGACTATTGACTGCCTCCAGTTTCTCTGTAAGATGCAAACTTTTCACACGTACTAAGGAATTATCAAGTAGCACTATTTGTTTATTCTTGCAGTCCTTTGGATGATGTTATTATGAAGTGCGTATGTCAGAAGTCAGTCGCTTGCCGTTATCTTCACGAACAACCCACTAACAAGCAGGAAACCTTGAACGCTCAATTCCACACCAAATGCCCCCAGAAAATGTCTTGCTGCTACTAGCGGAAACTGCCCACGACTGATCCTTTCAACTTTCAGACCTGAACTGAATTTGGAAAAAGACATGCTATTCCAAGATGTGTAGATTAGTTGTGGCACATGGATGGTTTGGGTTGTTCTACGAACACATTCTGAAAAGGGCTCGTTGCAGCCAGTGCAAACACTGATACGAGCTTTTAATTGGCAACTAGTTCAATTTAGTGTGTAACAATCACAAAACCTTGTTTTGATTGAATGAATGATTTAAGTGGGTTTCAAGTTCAGTTGGACTTTGTACTACTTCTGTAAAATTGAGTATTTTTTTCTGAGATATAAAAGAAGAAAAATAAGAAAAATAAAATGGTTTGTATGAAAAAAGAACAAAAAGAAAAGACTGTAATAGAGCAATTGAAGTATCACTTCTCGCAGAAGGAACATTAGTTGAAAGGGATTTGTTGAATAACTCCAGATAGTTCAGTATATGAATCAATATTAACACTAACGAAACATCAAAAAGAAACAGGATCAGCAACGCATGTACAAATCGCCATATATTTCATCTTGTAATATTAGTAAAAAAAAAAAAAAATATGGTAAAAAAAGCATACGTTCTTATGTGTGACATTCCAAATCGTTACTATTCTCTACCAAAAGAATAAAACTAGAGGCAAACGGATCTCATATAAAATATCTAGGCTTCTTTCATCGCCTACTGAATCGGGGAACGGTTCCCCGCGACTGGAACGCAAAAAGTACTAAGTGCAAATAGCATCCACCGAATCGAGTCATGCTGATTCCTCCTGCAGCAAATGGATGAATGTGGGTCGGATGGGAATAAAAAGCATTAGTTCGTCCATTTAGGTACAGCGCTACTTGCTTCCATGCTCCCTTCACCCTCCGTGTTATTGCGGAGGCTGCGCTCACTTTTTGTGTCTCTCGTCTCCGCACTCTCTCAGATTTGTTGCTGCTGTGGGTTGCTAGATCCCTCGCTCTTATTCGACCACGCATTCTCTCTCTCGCAATGGCGTCCGAGGGTGTGCTTTTGGGCATGGGAAACCCCCTGCTCGACATCTCCTGCGTGGTCGACGACGCATTCCTCGAGAAGTAACGGTTCCTCTCCCTCGTTTCTCTTCACTTCTTTGGTTTCCGTGCTCGTGTGTTGAGTGTGTGTGTGAGCTAGTCTTTTTTTTTTTTTCGGTTGTGCATCTTCTCTTGTTCTAACCCTTGGTGTATTTTTTATAATTTATTTTATTTTTGTTACTTTACTTGTAATGGGTTTTCTTGCTACATTCACTTTGACGTGCACCCGCAGTCTTGGTGTGGAATGTAGATTCCTTTTGATGCCCTTCCCTATGTGGGTAGAGGAGGATCGGTTTTTGACACTCGTGGGTGTCTCAGTTGGCTGCATTTGTTTGAATCTGTCTCAGGGTTGTGGATTCACCTGAAAAGGCCCGTTGTGATTTGTCTCGTTTTTTTTGTTTTTTGTTTTTTGTTTGTTTTCTGAGGGTGTAACCTGTGGCTATGTCTCTCATCTTCCATACTTCTCCTCTCAAAAGGGTGTTGAAGATCCCTCGAAGATAAGAGAAAATGTGATTCATCCTTGGACTGCGGTCTGGAGATCTATGTATTGGACTTCCCCTAGAAGTTATCCTTCTCGATATGAGGATTCGACGATTACTAGATTTGATCCCTCTTGTATTAGATCCACATTCTGATTACTTTGATGTCTGATGTACAGGTACGGGCTGACGCTAAACAACGCTATTCTTGCTGAGGACAAGCACCTTCCCATGTATGTTAAAAATAATCCCCGACACCTTATGTCATATGCCGGCCCAATGTTTTGGGGCTTTCTGTAGTAAGCTGTAAGAGATTGTGAGCATCGGATCGACTTCAGAAAATTTCTTCATGCAAGCGCTAGAATGGAGATGAATAAATGTGAGTTGACGTAAGCATCGGATACTTTGTTTGCTAATGTGGATGTCTTCGGCATTGCAGGTACAAGGAACTGGCTGCCAATCCCGATGTAGAGTACATTGCAGGAGGTAAAGCTCAGATAAATATCTCCCAATACGTCGTAGCATACGTAGGTGATAGTGTGCTGTCTCTGTAGCGCTCTGGTATTTGATGCTCACAATTAACCTGTGGTCTGCTTGCTATGACTACAGGTGCTACTCAGAACACCATCAGGATTGCCCAGGTACTTTTAAGACAGCTCCAAGCTTTCAAAGTTACACATGAAGTCGAACGGCTTTCACTGTATCTTGCATTGGCTTCGAAATTTAATGAAAGCCCCTTTTCTTGCACAAGTTTCAACATATGCACGTGTTCTCATCCCAATTTTCTAAAATGTTTGTTCTTTTAAACTACACAGTGGATGCTAGGTGAATCGAACGCAACTAGCTACTTTGGCTGTGTTGGCAAGGATGAGTATGGCGACCGTATGTTCAAGCTCGCCTCTGAGGGAGGTGTCAATGTAAGTTTTTATCCAAGGTTCCAAACAATTGATGTGTACCGCTGCTGGTAGAATGTCTTTGGGATCGGTGGGATAGCTTCTCTTTTATATGATTTGTTTCTGGTAACTACCAATACGTCCATCTCAACTGATAGTACACGATGATGAATGTTTAATGCTGTTATGTTCAATGAACTTTAAACCTTCAAATTAAGGATCTGAGTACTTAGTTTGCCTGTGTGTAAAATAGGAGCGAAAATGAGTTTTCTTTATTAGATGCCTCTTTTAATGAAGACTTCACTTATGTCCTGCCTCAGATCCGATACGATGTGGACGAGGATCTTCCCACTGGAACATGCGGCGTGCTCGTGGTGAAGGGAGAGAGGTAACTTTCATCGTCTAATGAGCTTGCCTGGCCGACTTTTTAATAGTCCGAAGTTTCATACTGCATTTCATACTCAGACTAACTTTCATTCTCAGTGTTGTCCTTTTGGGCTTACTTGTGGTTATTATCACTTTCAATAATTGTGTAGCATATAGATTTTTTACATACTCTCATCTACTGCAGGTCCTTGGTAGCCAATCTTTCAGCCGCCAACAAATACAAGATCGACCACTTGAAGAAGCCAGAAAACTGGGCTTTCGGTGGGATCTCGTTAAATGTTACTACGTTGTTTATGCCTCTCATCACATTTACTTTGTACCCGTAGTATTACTCTAAATTTGACACTGAACTCAGTTTATGCTTTTAGAGAGGTTACAGTAAAATCGACGTAGAAACTGTGGAATCTAGGTTGCAGTTACGGCCCTCTATATTCCGAATATTGATTAACTGGCCAACTCTGAACTTGTAACTTATTGCAATCTGCTGGTATCTGATTTATGTTGTTTGATGACAGTGGAGAAGGCAAAGTACATCTACAGCGCCGGTTTCTTCCTGACTGTTTCACCGGAATCTATGATGACCGTGGCCAAACATGCTGCCGAGACCGGAAAAGTTAGTTTTGTATTGTTTTCAAGTAGTTAAATTGCACAATACTTCGCTGTCCCAAATGTCATTCAGATGTTTGAGATGTTGAACTCAGGTATCTGTTTAATGGCATTTAAGGCTGCACTAATTGTCGAATTTCTCCTCTGCTTGTGTTTGCGCAGTACTACATGATCAACTTAGCCGCTCCGTTCATCTGCCAGTTCTTTAAGGACCCTCTTATGGAGCTTTTCCCGTGAGTGCTTCTGCTCATCTTATTTTCAAGAAACTTGGAGTTTGTCATTTATTGAAAATGAAATGTTTGAACAAGTTGAACTTACGTCGTCTGTGCGGTGCTGCAGTTACGTGGATTTCATTTTCGGCAACGAGAGCGAGGCCAGAGCATTTGCGCAAGTTCAAGGCTGGGAGGTAAGACTTTTCGTGGGTCCATTTGCATGGGACTGGTTTGGGTTACATCTGGATTGGTGGCATGTGATGTAGTGGTTAATATTTGATAATGACTAGAACATTTCTCGCTGTACATCCTGCAGACAGAGGACACCAAGGTGATAGCCGTAAAGTTGGCTGCGTTACCGAAAGCTGGCGGCACCCACAAGCGTGTCGCTGTCATCACCCAGGGAACTGACCCCACAATTGTTGCTGAAGATGGAAAGGTATTTTTATTCTCTATTGAAGCTATCAATATTGTAGATGTTGTCTAAACAGTGTTTCAGATGGTAGAGACCAGGTGTTAGCATTTATGACAGATGTTGATTACGTGCATCTGCTCCTCTTTCAGGTGACTGAATTCCCCGTCACCCCTATTCCTAAGGAGAAGTTGGTCGACACTAATGCAGCTGGTAAGTCTTTTTCATTTAACATCCTTAAATCTCATAGGAATTCCTTTCATTGGGAGATCCTTCTTTGCTTTGACTAGCCTTACCAATATTTTAAAAATAAAATGTTAAGTTGATGCTGGATATAAGCAGCAACTTAATCATGGTTTTTTTGGCAGGTGACTCTTTTGTCGGAGGGTTCTTGTCTCAGCTGGTGTTGGGTAAAGACATCGCACAGTGCGTCAGAGCAGGAAACTACGCAGCCAGCGTCATCATCCAGCGCTCTGGATGCACTTTCCCTTCCAAACCATCCTTCGAAAGTCAGTAGAAAATTGTTAGGGTAGGGGTGAGGAAATTTGCCGCCCCTTTTTTTTGTCACAGCATCTATCATGCAATACAACTGGGTTGCCATATCATCAATTTCTACCTTATCTTGGGACACGTGACTTCAAAATTGTAGTTCTTAAATTGTTGGTGTCAGCTAAGTCATTCTGCTCCAGTCTAACATTATTACGGTGTGTAAGAAGCATTTTTGCAGTTGGCTACGATCATTAGGAATTCGTTTTGGGTAGCTAGAGTAGCTCTGTTTTTCTGGAACCCAATGTTTTGACCAATGAATGTTTCATTGGATGATAACCACCTCGATGCATGTGATTTGGTTGAGATTGGGGCCTTGGGTATTGTTAATGTCACCACATTTTCAGCTGTTGCACCTTTCCCCATCCACACATTCTACCCACATTTTTTGTCTATGCCAATTACGAAAGTAAAGTTCTTTTCTAAATATAAAGTGAACAATCTTATTCAACCATCTTAATCAAATGTTTTTGTCGTGCCAACGGAAAATAGGTATTGAATAACTTAAGTAGTAAAGTGCGATTTTATCTATAACTGAATTAATCATAATCAGATACTGTAATACTAATTTTAAATTCTGAACAAATATATCTAATGTTTATATACAAAGTTAACAATCTTATTCTTTAAAAACAATCAAATAAAATATTAAATTAAGTAAATGTTTTCTAATATGTAAATTATCAAATGTTTCATACAATCTTTTTCAATCTTAAATAAATTTCACACAATTTTACATGAAACGTTGATAAAATATTTATATTCTAAGAAATAACAATTTTTATTAAAGAAGAATGTCTCTTTGTTACCCACATAAAAAAAATGTGATTTTTAAATACCAACAAAATAATGTCTTGATATTTTTTCTTATTAATAAAACTTGACTATTTTTAATATAAATAAATTAGAAATATCTTGACATATAGTTAATACATAAATTTAAAATATTTACCAAGAATCTCTTTTTAAATTACTTAAAAATCATCAAAATATAAGAATATTCAATACATAAAATTTCTAACAGATATATATTTTTAATTGATTGTAGCCATTATTATACACACAATTAGGTTCATTATTGCAATTTCAATTCATAATAACCATGAAAATTCTCTTGAATTCAAAAGTCTTTCCATAAGCTTCATATCTATTAAAATAGACCTTTCCTTATCTTCTACTAATTCAAATATTAAAAAACCAAAGATAGGATGTATTATGAAATACATAACCAATGGTATTGTACATATCTTAAATGCTCTTCAAGTCCATTGTATGCCAAAGTTGGTAGATGTTGTTTTTATTGATTATATAATTTGCTATATCTTGTAGAAATACTACTTAGAAGCTTCATAGATGTAACTTTGTTTTTATATGTGTTTATAGGTGATTGATAGGTTAAAAATTTGGCTAATAAGTTGGCCATGTGTTATACATATAAGTGACTTGTGATATAAGTTGGAAATGTGGTATACATATAAGAAACTTATTTTGCAAGTTAGACATGTGACTTGCAAATTGGACACATGTTAGGCACTTGTTTTAAATTCTCATCTTTGTCACTTTATCACAATTTAAATTGACTAAAAAACACAATTCTATTCTTGGGACTTATTTGGCATTCCAATATTTGATTCACTATCAAGGATATGAATCTTGAAGAACTAAAAGATCAAGACACTCTTGTATTACTTCAAAAAATTAGATAACTACTTAAAAATGATATAATATTAAACTAGAATGGCTATTGCCAAAGACAAGAATACTAAAAAGTCTTGAAAATAAGACTAAAGACTACGAAGGCATTGACAAGAGTGAAGAAGGCTTTATTCTTACCTCCATATATACTCTAAACTAAGAACTACTTGGCAATGTCATGTAGGACCTCCAAAATGTGTTGACTTTGTAACATACATATCTTAACTTATAAGGCAAGTTTTCTTTTAGTGCACTACATAGCTAGCTTGTTCCGTAAGCTACAAACACATAGACAATTTGTTGACTAAGTTTCTAATCTATCAATCAACTACAAATACATATAAAATCAAAGCAATATCTATGAAGCTTTTAGGAAGCATTTCTAGAAAATATTATGAAATAAATCTACTTTTATCTACTTCTATTTAATCATATAGGTAAATATTACAATAAATATGTATGTCCATGATATTATCTCTTTCTAGGAATGAGTTCTATAATGAGCAATTATCATATATTGAAGAAATCTATGATGCGGCAAGTTGTGTTTGCTACATATTCTGATCTTTGTTCTCTTTGAAGATGGTTGATAGGTCCTCTTAGCCATCAAAAGTATCCCATAATAAGGCAAGAAGACCACCATATTATTTGATTGTTGCTGAGGTCTTCATAACTTCCTTCAAATAAAACATTTGAAATATCGTCAAGAGTTATTCCTACTTCTAATAAAATTACCAAACATTAGAAGTTTCTTCCGAGGTTGTCATATTAAATATGTTGTATATTGCCATCTATTTAAGAAAGGATATGTTGTTCTTAAAGATCTTCATCTTGAGTACAATATCTTGAAGGTTGTGACAATCATAATGTCTTATTTGATAAGTTGATAAGTGAAAGTTCTTGAAGCGAATTTGTTAGTTGTTGGTTTTCTATCTCCTTAGCAACACAAAGATATAAAAGTTACAAGTAAGAATAGAAAGTAAAATGCTATCTATCATAGACATATACATATAAGCCAGTAATTATCTATATAAATAGGTAGAAGTAAGTAGAAGTAGGTAAAAATAAGTTAATTCTATAATATCTTCTATAGAAGCTTCCTAGAAGCTTTATAGATGCTGCTTTGACTTCATAAGTGTTTATAATTGACTTTTTTAGTTAAAAAAGTGATAAAAAAATTAGTCATGTACCACATATGGTGTTAGCTTGAAGACCAAGCTCACTATGTGGCCTACAAGTAGAAAAACTTGCCTTGTAAATCAAGGCATGTGTTCTACAAAGTCAACATATATTGAAGGTCCTATAGAACATCACCACATAGCTCTTAATTTGATAGTATATCTAGAGATAAGAGTGGAGCCATCTTCATTGTTATCAACTCCTTTCTTGCTTCTAGTCTAGTTTCAAGAGTCTCAAGTTTCCTTGTCTTTTGGCAAAAAAAAATTCTAGTTTCTTTTTAATATATGTACTTTCTAATTTCTATTTTGTTACTCTTTCTTTGATATGGACTTCATTGATTTATGCATCATCTTTTACTTCATGTCCTCAACACATTAACAAGAGTACACTTATAATATCATAGCTTTGTCTTGTCTTGATTAAGAGTGGATTACTTCTTTCTCATGATAAGATATAAGCATATTAGAAGTTCTAGATTACCGTCTTCTAAATTGATATTTTTCTTAGTATTTTCTTTGTCCTCAAGTCTTTTCTTCTACTTGTCTTGATTGGTATTAGATATTGTTTTGAATGTTATTATGGGAGATCTTGTTGAAATGAAGAATGCAATAGTACAAATGCAAGAGCAATTGAGGGAGTTGATACTTGCAATGCATCAACTTGGCTTACCACCACAACGATCAATAAGAATGGTAGGAAGTGAAGATATATAGATGATTAGAGTTGCTTCAACATCTGTACCAAATCATGTCCATCTACCCATGGTGGAACATACTTCAAGTATTAGAGAACCAAGAGTTTCTTTGTCCAAGAAGTTTAATGGTATAAGATCCAAATTTTGAGGATTTATCAATTAAGTATAACTTGTGATTGAACTTCAACCTCAAAGCTATTCAACTCTAGGATCACAATTTAGATTCATTGGTACACTTCTTTTAGGTTCAACTCTATCGTGGTTTTCATCTTTTTTTAAACGAGAAGATCTAAGATTAGACAATCTGGAGGCATTTTTGGCAGAATTTCGATCCATGTATAGAGAACATGATGCAACTTGTGTTGCAACCAACAAGATCCATATTTTGTGATAATGTAATTGATTTGTAATGTTATATGCTTCACAGTTTTGACAACTTGCAATACATATCAAGTGGGATGATGTTGCAATTATTAGCCAATTTATGGATTATAATATAAAATAAAGAAATTGATGCTCAACTTATCTGATCCTCAAATATTGAGACAAGTAATTGACTTTGTTGTGAAATGTGACAATTGACTTCTTCAATTTTGATCTGAGAGTTGCACAAATGGGCCTCAATGTTACTACGATTTGATGGCAACACCAACATCTCCTCAAAACATATATTCAAAAGTAGAGGATATGCAAATTGATGTAGTACGTTTTAAATCTGTTATCAAGTAAGAAAAGATTTGTTGCCGTCAAGAAAGATTGTGCTTATATTACGGGGAGCTTAAATACATTGTTCAACATTATCCAAAGAAGCGACAAAATCACAAAATGAAGAGTACATCTATCAAAGAAGACAATATGTGGGAAAAAAAATTTGTCCAATTACAACAAAGACCATTGAGTTGAAATCTTATATAGTTTTTAATGAAGGTTCCATCTTCTCTTCAGAACCCTCTCCTTGTTTTATAATAGATGTACATTTAGGACATAATAATTATAAAGCCTCCACCTTAATAGATTCAAAAGTCTCAGTTTGTTTCTTAGACATAGAATTTGTTAAAAGTCATAAAATATCGTTAGTACAAAAAACCAAACTTGTTCATATAGAGGTCATAGATGATCATTTGTTGTCTTTTGGAGATGTTACTCATGAAATTCTTCCTATAGATGTAGCAATAAATGATCATAGTAGTTGTATTATCTTCAATATAATTAGATCTCCCTCTAATCTAGTCATTTTAGGTTTATCATGGTTAAAAAAGTATAATCCTTGCATAGATTGGATTTCATGTACCCTTGACTTTTCTAAAAGCATAATTAAGAGTGAAATTATTCTAGTAAAAAGTCATAAGTCTAATGCAATTAAACTTATGTTTGAAGGTGCTAGAGCTTTCTTGTATGCTTGAGAAGAAGGATCACTTTGTATTATTTATGCCACACTTGTTTCTAATGATGTAAAGACCTCAAGTGGTATTTCTAACCAATATCAAGAATTTCAAGATATATTTG